ATTCCAAACATTAAAAAATAAATGAGTTTTGCTACGGTGACCCAAAATATGGCACCGATAAGGGAGACAAGTAAGGTGTCCCCCTCCTATTGGATAATGAGTTGACCATCATTAATGATGGCCAACTCATTATTCAATAGGAGATGGACACCTCACTTGTCCCCCCTATTGGTCTCATATTTTGGATCTTTGAGGAATTTTTCAAAATCATACCCCCTTTAAAAGCACGAGTTCGGAAAATCTTTTTTAGACAAATATACCCCTTTATAGTTTGAACTAACTTATCTATAATCAAATTCTAATTTTCAATGGTCAATATTACCCTTCATTATTTTGAATATTTTATTTATATCTTAATCTATCCTAATCATAATCATATCTTATCCTAATCTTATGTGAACCATGTTTAGCTTAACAATTTAAAAAAACTAATATTAATAAAATATATAAAACATAAAAATGATATTAGTTTGTTAAGATAAAGAAATTACAAATAGATAACATATTATAATACATGAAGTATTGCAAAAAAACCATAAAAAGTTTTAAAATTACAGAAAAGACCTTAAAAAGTTCAAAATTATAAAAATCATCTCAATGTCTCAAAACTTAAAATAAAAAACATGAAATTAAAAAATTAACATCAGTTTGCAAAGAATTTAAAATTTACAGTTAACACCTCAATGTCTCAAAAATTATAGAAACACCCTCAAAAGTTTAAATTACAGACAAACACATTAAAATTCTAAAATTTTAAAACTTACAAACAAAATCCTATGTGACCCATGTTTAGCTTAACAATTTAAAAAAACTAATATTAATAAAATATATAAAACATAAAAATGATATTAGTTTGTTAAGATAAAGAAATTACAAGTAGATAACATATTATAATACATGAAGTATTACAAAAAAAACATAAAAAGTTTTAAAATTGCAGAAAAGACCCTGAAAAGTTCAAAATTATAAAAATCATCCCCATAAAAATCATCCCAATGTCTCAAAACTTAAAATAAAAAACATGAAATTAAAAAATTAACATCAGTTTGCAAAGAATTTAAAATTTACAGTTAACACCTCAATGTCTCAAAAATTATAGAAATTTTGAATATTTTATTTATATCTTAATCTATCCTAAGCATAATCATATCTTATCCTAATCCTATGTGAACCATGTTTAGCTTAACAATTTAAAAAAACTAATATTAATAAAATATATAAAACATAAAAATGATATTAGTTTGTTAAAATAAAGAAATTACAAGTAGATAACATATTATAATACATGAAGTATTTCAAAAAAACCATAAAAAGTTTTAAAATTACAGAAAAGACCTTGAAAAGTTCAAAATTATAAAAATCATCCCAATGTCTCAAAACTTAAAATAAAAAACATGAAATTAAAAAATTAACATCAGTTTGCAAAGAATTTAAATTTTACAGTTAACACCTCAATGTCTCAAAAATTATAGAAACACCCTCAAAAGTTTAAATTACAGACAAGCACATTAAAATTCTAAAATTTTAAAACTTACAAACAAAATCCTATGTGAACCATGTTTAGCTTAACAATTTAAAAAAACTAATATTAATAAAATATATAAAACATAAAAATGATATTAGTTTGTTAAGATAAAGAAATTAAAAGTAGATAACATATTATAATACATGAAGTATTGCAAAAAAAACATAAAAAGTTTTAAAATTGTAGAAAAGACCCTGAAAAGTTCAAAATTATAAAAATCATCACAATGTCTCAAAACTTAAAATAAAAAATATGAAATTAAAAAATTAATATCAGTTTGTAAAGAATTTAAAATTTACTGTTAACACCTCAATGTCTCAAAAATTATAGAAACAACCTCAAAAGTTTAAATTACAGACAAGCACATTAAAATTCTAAAATTTTAAAACTTACAAACAACACAGATGAATTCAACAGATTACCATGATACACCTAAAATTTTTGACATTTAAATTTAAATTTTTTTAATTAACACCCTTAATATCTCAAAAATTATAGAAACACCTTTAAAAGTTCAAATTATAAAAAGCCACCCTAAAATTCTAAAATTTGTAAATAACATAAGATGAATTCAAGATATTACCCTTAGACACCTAAAAAATTAAAATTTGCCGAAATTAACCTCAAAAGTTTTTAAAAACTCATTCAAAATTTAAAAATCGTAAAAAAAACTCTAAATTTTCAAAAATTTTAACTAGCACAAATCAAATTCGTCGATTGGTAGACCGCTAAAATTTAATATTTTTCAAAATTAATCTATAGTTTTAATAATTACAAAAGACACCCTCAAAATTTTAGAGTTACAAGAAATATACTAACATTTAAAAAATTACCACCAACACATGAAACATAGAATTTACAACTACCAAACTTAAAAGTAAATTTTTTTAAAAACTCTTTCAAAATTTTAAAAATTACAAATCACACCCTCAAAGTTCAAAACCACAAAAATGGGCTAAAATTTTAAAACTTGGCAAAGAAAAGTGTAATTGTTTGGTATTTTATATATATATATATATATTAAAATTTCTAATTTAGGGATTTACTATCCATTTTCAGCATCTAAGAATAGTCTAAGTTGATACTGGTAAACAAAAACAATAAGAATTGATTAAAAACATCCGGTTAATGGATAAATTTTTTAAAAATATTATAGATTAAAAATTATCGGCACTATATAAATTAAAGTAATTTCATATAATTTTAGTAATAAGTTGGGGTAGCCAAAATATATTCGTAACATTAATAACCAACCAATTAATTATTTTCAATACCATGATTAAGTATTTTTGACAGTTTTCCCCTTTGTCAAAAGTAACATGGCTAAAATAGGAGGCGGCATGATTAAGTATTTTTGACAGTTTGTGCTCATTTCTAAATGTATAAAAATAAATGCCGCTATTTCTAAATGTATAAAAATATAAAAATAATTACGAATTAGACTTAATGCCGCTATTTCTAAATGTAAAGAAATGCCCAAGAAGAAAACGTGGGCTGGACCCATATTACTGGTTACTTAATGCCGCCTCCTATTTTAGCCATGCTATTTTTATGCAAAAAAATATAAAAATTATCAGCACTATGTTTTTTATTTGCCAAAAATCATAAAATAAAAACGACAGTTTTCCCCTTTGTCAGCTTTCTTCTTGGGCTTTTCTTTACATTTTTAACCAACCAAGTAGGCCCTAAGTTTTGGAAGGTGCTTATAATAAACGATTGTTGAGTAATAAATGCATTGTAAGGAGATCGGAGAACTAATTAACGAAGTAGATGGATTTGTGAGCAGATTAATTACACAGTTGCCACGGAAGCTGACTTCTCAGCCCAATAACCAGTAATATGGGTCCAGCCCACGAGCCACCAGGTCCAGTGGTAGGAGGGAAACTGGATAAATAAAGAATTTTAAATAAGCATTCCTAAAAACTTCCAACAAAAAACTCCCCAGCATTCGATTGAAGTTTTGCTGGGTAAACAAAAATTCCCAACATAAATCAACCAGCACGGATTTCATTTTCTTTGATGATTTTAAGCAGTAAATACTCACTAGCGCATGTTTAATGCGGCCCGTTTTTGCCGCCAACACTTTCAAATTAAGCACCCAGTACGCAGTTTTCTCAGCTCAGCATGCCAACTGTTCGATGAAATTCCCAGCAGAGAAAACCTCTTTGAATTCACCGACTCCGCACTCGGTACCCAGAAACAGTCGGGGTACGGCATCTCTCAATCATGTAAAGCTTGCTCGCCTTGTCATCAGTTTCATTGTAGAATACGATATTCTTACCGGAAAGCAAATACATTCCCTGGTCACAAAATGTGGGTTCTCTTCAGACCCTTTTATCTCTACCTCTCTCATCGATAAATATTCAAAATATGGTCTCCTCGAAGAAGCTCGTTCATTATTCGATGACATCTCTTTGAAAGACTTGGTTTTATGGAATGTGATGATCTCTTGCTACTCTTGGAACAGGCTCGAGAAAGAAGCTTTCTTGCTATTCAAATCGATGAGGGTTGCAGGTTATGTATGTGATGAGTTCACCTTTAGTAGCCTGTTGAGTTCTTGCAGCTCACTGCAATGTAAATCCTTCGGAAAGCAGACACATGGGCTAGTGATCAAGTTAGCTTCCGATTCGGATACCTTCGTTACTACTGCAATTATCGATATGTACATGAAATGTGGGTGCATTGAAGATGCTCGTAAAGCATTCAACATTGCAAGCAAAAGAAGTACAGTCTTATGGAATGCAATGATTATCGGCTATGGACAAAATGGAGATGGAAAAGAGGCAATGAAACTTCTTAGTCAAATGATTCGAGGAGGTCAAAAACCTGATGAGCTCACACTTTCAAGTGTCCTGAGCTCTTCCGCAGATTCAGCAATGGCTAATGAAGCTGCCCAACTTCATAACTATGTCATGAAAAATGGATTTTGGAGCTTTCTGTCAATAGGTAACGCTCTCATTGTAGCATATGCTAAAATTGGGAGAATTTATAATGCCTTACGAGTTTTTCATTCAATATGCAAGCCTGATTTAGTTTCTTGGACTTCAATGGTTACTTCTTACGCATACCATGGCCTTGCTATAGAAGCAATAGATACATTCGAGAGAATGATTCGTGAAGGAATAAACCCTGATAAAATCGCTTTCTTAGGAGTTTTATCGGCTTGTTGCCATGCTGGATTACTCGAAAAAGGACTACATCACTTTGCTTCTATGAAAGATGGGTATCAAATTGAGCCTAGCTTAGAGCATTACACTTGTTTAGTTGATCTCCTTGGGAGAAAAGGGCAACTTAGTGAAGCTTATAAAGTCATCATCAATATGCCTTTTGAACCTAATGGAGATATTCTCAGAGCATTTCTTGGTGCATGTAAGGTCCACGGTGATATTGGGAAGGCAAAATGGGCAGCGGATAGGATTTTGAGCGTTGAAGCGAATGAGGCAGCGAATTATAAGATTATGTCCAATATGTATGCAGGTTTAGGATCTTGGGGCGACGTGGCGAGGCTGAGGAAGATGATGAGAGATAGGTGTGGTGAGAAGGCAATAGGATGTAGTCGGATTGAGAATGGCGGAAGAGTTCATACATTTGTTTCTAATGATGAATCACATCCCCAATCTTCGGAGATTTGTTGTATGTTGAGAATGCTTCTTAGAGTAATGAAGGACGCAGATCTTTAGAGATACTGGAGACAGTTTGAATGGCTAAAACAAAAATGCATTCTATCTGCAAAAATAAATATGAAATTTTTTTTCTCTGCATGCTGAGGCTCAAGAATTCAAAAACGAAAACTGGTATTGCTATCTACTACTTTTGTACTATGGAGAGAGACTTGGCATGAGAATTATAAGGATATTACTCTTTTGCATCTACCCATCTCAGCCCCACACTTGCCCAACAAATAGAGACACAAATCCTTTTCAAACAGCAAGTCATCCAAAACTTACCAAGAAAAGATGATATTTCTATTGTTTAAATAAAGACCAGCAGCAAACATGCCACTGAGAGGGCCACTAACTCTTGAAGCAGATAATGAAGCCATCAGTGCAGTTGTTGTCAAAGCCCAGTTCATGAGATAAGGACCAACGAAATATATATACATTAAAGTACACTATATAAATTAAGTTTCATCACGGTCAGTGTCATTAAGCAGCTAGCAAAGTAATGATTACTACAATTAGGGATCTGCAGCACAAAAGAAGAATATTTCTACCATTTCATTTAAATGATATGATATTCTAGCTGTAGAGGGATTTTTTCAATTTCCTTGCTGTGTGAATGAAGCCCACAATCACCTGAACCTCATCCAGTTGCTTTTGCATAGGGAGAAAAGAGGAAGCAACCAATGTTAGAGATAAAAAATTAGCACACAGATAAACTAAAAGAATTAAGGATTTGGGTGATGTTTTACCTGAGATATGAAATGATGCTGCACCAAATGAACCAGTTCTTCCTTGGATGGATTTGGATTAATATTTACCTAAATTTATTGTCCATGTGAATCAAATGTCAAATTTGTGAGAGATGCTAATTTTCCAAACTTCCAAGTCAGAGCACTAATTCTTAGCAGAAAAATAAGGGACAAAGGGGCTCACAAGGTTGAAGTGTTTCCAATATCTCCACAATGTCGCCATCTCCAGTTTCGCCAGATTTACCCTCTGTCAATAATCTAAAATGAGAAAGCAGTTTTATTCAAAAATAGCAATTCAGTCTACAATATTGACTCTTTTTATCGAATTTGGATCCTCTCCACTTCTTTTTATAAAAAAGAAGTGGAGGGATCACTACTTTTAATCTCAATCGTTGATTATTTAGTAGGCGATTGTGATACGATCTAAATCAAACACTCATCGTACCCCCATGTATTGCACTCATTCCTAATTCACGCTCGAAGAAAAAATCACCATCACCGACTAGATAATTAATCATTGTGATTATGCAGTGGTCCCTCCACTACTTTTTTAGTTGTGGCGAGGATCCAAATCCCTTTTTATCTAGGGTTAATTGTGGATAGACCCTTTGTACTATCGCCCAACTGCAGGTAGACTCGCTGTGGATCTATTGTTGCAGAGAGACCCCTAGAGTCAAATTTTTTGATTCTTTTGCTTCTCACTTCTCACAGAGAGAAATTTGTTTTTTTGACAAATAGACATCCTGTGGGTAAAATCATCAGAAAAATTTCACTCAGGGGATCAATCCACAAATGGGCAAATAGTAAAGGGGGTCAATCTGCAACAACAAAACTACAGGTGGTATAGCCGCAATGAAAGCCTTTTATATACACGTCATACGTCATAGAGACTAGTCGTATAGCTAAACTTGTAGTATGATCATTTAACTCTTTACTGCCTCTTTACCACATGCAATCCCATCCTGTTGATTATTCAGATTAGATATGACAAATAGGTTTTCGCACTTTTTCTAGTAAAAAAAGTACACTAATAGAAAAGGTAACTAAGAATGATGATTGTGCACAAAATAAATGGGAAGACACAGTTTCTTACCAAATGAATATATATTTTTTAAAGTAACTTACCAAATGAGTCTTATTACGTCCATTTGATTTAGCTGAACTTGCCCATGATCTGGCATGCCTTACCCTCGGCTTTGTTGGTTTCTGAAAATATACGCTAGCTACAACGAGGATAATCAAATGCAATTTTGTAAGTGAGCATAGATTAATAATGTCAGTAGGAAGTATCTTGGACTGTTTCTAAGAGGATTACTGTTTACTTACAGTGATCCATGTCTTTGTCTCCCACATCCGAACTACTGCAGAAAGAATTATCACAGTCCATATCATCGAATTCTTCTTCATTGCCAGTTGGAGCTTCTATCACACTCAAAGCATTTCTTTGCAGCTTCACCTCAACCCCATTCTTAAGGACCTGATAAATTAGTTAATTTTTATGAATGCAAGGGCTACAACTACATGTAATAAAATCGGTTATTCACAGAAAGATCATAAAAGACAGCACCTTCAAGTAGTATAATATCTATCCATTTTGGATTTTGGGATCAAAACATTATTAACAGGTACAGCCTATGTTACCTGGGTACTTCTAATCAGAAGCCGTACCTATACCCGACACCTGTACCTATACCCTAACTCCTTGGACACTCCTTGCATATATGTATACATTTATTTGGGCATGTACTCAATTATACAGTAAATGTTTTAAGTTAACACATTTGTCATACATTTTTTGGGCATATATCATACACATTACATCGACTTCTTAAAACTCGTTGAACATAGGTTAGGTTATGAATTATGATTTTGAAGGGTTGTTTGGATGTCTAGATCAAAAACTAGTGATTTTCCAATTTATAATCCACATAATACAAAGACATAAAAATGTTATATGAATTTTAGCTCACATCATTGTTCTCATATAAATTATTTACTTCAATATAAAATATGTGTATATAAATATTTATATAGCCGTACCCTACCATTTGCAAATTTGCCATATCCCGTACCCTTACCCGTACCCATACCCATATCTATACATGTACCCATGCAACATCGGTTACAGGTAACAAAAATGACATATGATATCCAATACTAACAGAGATTATGCTTTTCATTTCCCTATACTGCTGATTTTTAAATTCTATGTACGTACTAGCAAAAGAAAAGAAGAATTGTCACATACTATAGCAAAAGAAAAGAATTGTCACATACTATCTTCTAACAAAACATATTTTGGACATCAGTTTTGGTAAATAAAAAAATTGTCACAAATGATATTATATAACAGCAGAACCTAAATCTGATCGATCATTCTGGATCCAGCACCAAACCAAAGTGCTTTTTTTTTGGGTTCTATAAACTACTACACGTTCTTATGTCAAATCAACATATTATCTTGCAACTTTCATTGGGCATGCCTTAAAGTAAAAGTTTAAACTATAAGAAAACAGGTAAGTTGTGGGTGTCAAACATAGGTTTCGGAAAGAATATACATCAACACATTTTGCCAAATAGGAATAAACCAACAAACGAAATTTTACCAAGTGTTTAATCAGAAAGAACAAATGTTTAGTTACCGCTTACCAGCCAATGCCAACCACCAAGACCAACAGCTTTCTTCACAACACCTTGCAGCCCCACAAGAACGGACTTAGTTCTGTTGTTCCCGGTTACAATAACTTTGGTGTGCCTCGGAAGCACAGATAGCTCCTCATCACCGCTTTCTTCCCTCAATGGTGAGAATACTCGTGAAGAGCACAGCTCCGCCTCCATCGTTTGCAAATGATATAGATCACCTCCTTAATATCTACCCCCACATGCAGAAAAACACCATTTTTATCATAAACATCAATGACATTCATTCACTTCCATCACGTACATAACAGCAATACACAAGCATATCCTCCCAAACAAAGAATATGTTCAAATGTCGTATTAAGTCAAAGTGAGTACACGCAAATTCAAATGTGCCATAACTAAAAGGAGTGTGTTGTATTGAATCAAATGTTTCTTTCACCAAAAGTTACCATCTGAAAACTGTTTCATATAGGTGTCACTAGTAAAATAAAAAATAATAATAATAAGCCAGAATTATTGATCAGGGCATCGACAAAGCTCGTACAGCTAATAAAGTGATCAACCCCGTAATTGCCCTTAGATTGGGGACAATCCTGAATGCAAGGACTCCTTAGATTGAGGCTTGCTACTAAGAACCGAAAGCAATTGCAAGTAAGCTGAAACTTCAACAGCATTAGGACCCACCAAAGTAAAAATCATTGCCCCAGAAAATACATGATTTATGTGCATCCCCACCAGAAAACAAGCCAATGAATAGTCTGTCACTATACATCATAATTAGTTTAATTAATGATAATTATCCCCAGAAAAACTCAATATAAAAAATGAACTTAATTGATCTTCCTCCAAGCAGCTAACCGCAGTGTTAGAACTGTCAAATAGTAAAAATCCACTTCTATGTGACCATTGGATCTAAAAATAACTATTTAAAACAAAAAATACAAAATTGAACATATACTAAAAAATATGCAGTATGAAAGAATGCGCCATCAAGCAATTGACGCAAACAGATTGAGATGCATGCAATGGCATTATACAAAAAATGAAGCTGTTAATCTGTAGCCAGTTTCTTTCTACACTCATTTAAATAACAATAATAATAGAGAATTTATAGTAAAGCTGTACGCCTTATTTATTGTTCAACTATATAAAAATAGAAGACCAACAAGGCAAAGTTAGACTACTCCTTGTAAATAAATTATGGGTTTTAATCAAAAGGAAATTTTAAATGTATAAGAAGGAAAAAAAATCAACAATTAATTATTAAAGAACATTGGGAAGACTGCATGCAAGCAAACCGGAATCTTCAAATTCTTCGTACAAAAATAATAATAGATTCGCCTAAATGATAATTAGGAAAATAAAATAAAATCTTCAAGCTGTGACGAGACCCCATCCGAATCATTGTGAAAATAAATAAGGAAAAGTAGAGAAATGCGGGGAAATTAAGCAAGCATTGGATCAAAAAGTTGAAAAATGCATGCAATTAAACTCGACAGAATCATGAAATTAACCCCAGAGATCTCATTCGAATTTGAGGTATGCGGCACCAAATCGAAGAGAAAGCAAAATTCGAATCTGAGAAGCAATTTACCCGCGAGAACCCGGTCGATCTTGATCCTATGACGAAATGCGGAGAAATTATCACGAAAGCTGAGGTTTTTAGGCCATGAGAGAGTGAAATTTTCGACTCAATTTTGAGATTGAGGAAGGGAGCTGAGTGAATTCGAGCGTTGACAGAGAGAGGAAATTAGGGTTTTTTTTTTCTTCTTTTTTTGTTGATTCGAAAAGGGACAGCAGAGCGGAGCAGAGAGAGAGAGTGTGTGTGGTTTTATTGAAGAATGGAAACAGGAGGGAAGAGCATGGGTGAGAGAGAGAGAGAAGAGAGTGAGAGTAGCGCAGTAAATGCTGTCCAACTGCCGAGTCAAGGGTCCGGTCTGCTCTTTTTTTATTTTTTACCGACGTATAATTTGGCTTGATTTAATCCGAGCTGCTTATCCGCAGAATTTGTAGAAGGGTCAATTGCATGTAGTTCATTAAATCATCCATAATTGTAAATTAGTTTTTATTTCAATATCTGCTTATTAGGGGCTGTTTGGATCGGGTATTTTGAAGGGGAAAAGAGGGGGAAAGCTGCCAATTTGTCAGAGGCGATTTTGGGGGAAAGTTGCCAAAAAGCTGACAAATTGGCAGCTTTCCCCCTCCTTTCCCCTTCAAAATACCCGATCCAAACGGGCCCTTAGTAGCATGTCGGATCCATATGTTTCTTGAAATTTTGCTCACTCTATTTGTGAGTTTCGAGGAGAATGCGCTGTCATCTTTAACGGAACGACATGGTTTACCCATTGCATCCTTATTTAAAACTTAACGACCTGTTTATTTAGCTGGTTTAAACCTGCAACACAGTAATGCCACAGTCACAATCCAAATGGTTCTTCTTCCCCGATGGCCAAGGGCAAGCCTAAGATCTATTTCAGAGCTCCATCTATGTGACATTCCCTCTAGACCCCTATATAATCCTCTAAACTGGGTTGCTTTGAGAGGGAAGCATAAACTGGAGGGGGTATTTAGGTAATTACAGATGTTGGGTTAAAGTTAACTCAACTATAGTCAGAGAAAATAGCAGAAAAGCTAATAGAGCGACGAAATAACAACGCTGCAGATTTGAGGAAACTATTTTGTAATTATGAATGATTTAGGAAACTAATATCCAATTAGCCCTTTTTAGACTAGACTGAATATTTAATGTCTTAGTTGTTCTTTGAAATAAAAAATTTTAAAAATAACTCACGGAAGGGTGCATGATTTTGTCGTTTTGCTGGTCTACACCTGAAATTCAAACGGCCTAGCTCGTGAGTTAGCGTTCTACCAAAATCTACGGACAAAGAGACACTTGTCTGGAGTCCGATTGTCAAGTGAGGACGATTTCAATCGGTAAGTTAAGCGAGGATTTTATATTTTAACATGTTCCCGCATCTTTTTTTTAGCCTTAAAGATCTAAACTCATGCAGCGGTATTAATTTTTAGAAAATTCGCTTTAAATTTGTGGCTGATAGGATTTAAACATTGTCATCTTAAACATCCTAATCATTACACCAAAAATCTAAAATTATGAAGAGGGTTCAGTGTTATATTTTGACATTCTAACAATAGGGTTAGTTTTAGAAAATCCTCTGGTAGAATTAAAAAAAAAACTCAATGAATTTATTAGGTGATCAACAAACCCTAAGGTTAATAAATCTAATTTGGATTGAGGATTGTATTTCACGGAGTTGAATCTAGTGTTTATTGATCAACTACTATTGGGAGGCGTCGTGATTCTTGTGATGATATAAGAGTGGTCTTTCTTAAATTTACCCAACGTAATTGCAGCATTAAAAGATGATAATCTCTTTTTTTTAAAAGGGGTTTGTATATGTATCCCTCAAAATTTTCATATTTGCAAATATACCCATATATTTTAATATTTATAAACATAACCCTGAAAATTTGTTTATTGGACCTCTCTACCGCTTTAACTTAAAAATGTTTGTTTTTAAACAAGACAATGCTAAAATTTACAATAGCTTCCAATAGACTTATCATATTTTTCATCGAAAAATGCTAAGCATACTACTTTTTCTATGCTAGTTTGGCACCACTACTCACAATGGAGTGTCGGCCTCACTTAAAAATTGTTGCGATAACTCATCATGACCCTACTCGTTTGTGACTTGTGAGTGGTAGTGCCAAAGTAGTAAAGAACGTGTAATATACTTATCACTATTTTTTTTTGTCTATTTTGACACTATATCTGTTTAGCGAGACGGATAGAAAAAGCTAACGTGAGAGAACTGAAGGGTAATTTTGCAACTATCAATATTTTTAGGATAACTTTGTTGTGTAGAAGAATGGAGGGGTATATACGCAAAACCCCTAAACATAGATGAAACGTTATCCCTCTGAAAATTCAGTCGCATTTGAATTCCGCGGTTTCAAGTCCGAAAAAATATGATGGCAGGCAGCTGGCTTCCAATAAAGCGCTCGCAACCCGGCTGCTTCCGGATATGGAGCAAGGATCCCCTGCCAGCTTCCAAACATCAAACACCACTTTAGCCAAAAGAACACTGATAACTAGGCGGGACCCACATCAGGACAGGTGAACCACGTCATCGAACACCATTTAAGGGACAGGATTAGGATCCGAGGAGAAGCCAAAGGGGGGACATGCACATGCAGAGCATTTACTCGCTCAGTTTTTTCATTCCTGCCTTTATTTTATCCCCCCGTACTCTGTGCTTTGCTTGCTTTTAGAACGGAGAGAGAGAAAGCCAGAGAG